CTCCAGGCAAGAATACCAGGGTGGGTTGCCATGCCTTTCTCCAGGGGATCTTCACAACCCAGGTATCAAACCCAGGTCTCCTGCATTGCAGGCAGATTCTTTACCATCTGAGCCACCAGGGAAGCCCTTTCAGTGCCATGGAACTATCCTTCTCACTCAGCTTAGGCCCAAGCCATGACTGTCTCTTGCTGTCCCTGACCATTTAAATCTGCAGGGGGTTTGCTGGGGACACGTGATGACGACTTGGAAGGAAAGCCATTGCTGAGGTTGTGCGGCCCTTCCCTCCCATTCTCCTTTTCTGAGACTGAAACCTAGAGAGTGGGCCAGATGTGACTAGAATTTCCCTCCATTTCTAAGCTCCCTCGTCGACCTGGCTGGGTGCTCTGTTGTCTGCCACAGGAGTGCACTGAGGATGGCAGGAAGACAAGGAGATCAAGGGGAGGCGAGACATGAAGATGCTGGAGACCAACTCCTGTCAAATAACACTTTCGCAGAGCATCTGCCTAGACAAGATGCCCAAAGCAGTTCTCTTCCCATGCAGGAAATGGAAGCCCTAAAAGTATAGCCTATGGCTGGACCTTAAGGCACCCAGAGATCATCTGACACCTCTGCCGGCCTAGGCTAATGAGTCAGAAACCATCATGTAATACAGTGATGCACAGAGTATTCAAACAGCAGAGCTTAAAGGAACTCTAAATATCTAGCCCTCTCGCTTTAAAGAAAAGGAAACTGAGGCCCAGAGATAGAAAACCAGTCTCTTTGGCCATCGCAGCTATTTCTGTCTTGGTTACCTTTGTGCGTTTGCTGGATATTCCCCTAACAGTCCCCTCCAACTGCAGCCCTCATGGCTTCTTCAGCTGACCACTCGTGACCTTCCCATGGTTTCTTCCTCCAGCAGCACCTTCACTTTTTCTGCTGAGATCTCCTTAAAGAAGTGTATTTGGACAGGATCCTCTCTAAAATCCTAGACAGGTAAGCCTTTGGATTCCAATCTGGTAAACATTGTACAATATCTGTAAACATTGTACAGACCTAGTGACTACTGCCCAAATCCCCCTTAGAAATGAAGGGCATCCTCCCCCAGGCACTGGTGCCCATGATCAGATATCTTCCCCGAGAGCGACCCGAACCAATGGTTGATCAGCACAGAGGTACACAGGCCTATCCCCTCCAACGCAACTCTGGAGGACTGTTCCAGTTTCAGAACTTCCTGGGGGGATTGGGCAAGGTCTTTGTTGAGATTCCACTTCTTCTTCTGCCCAAACCAGCTTCAATCCTGTTCCTCCCACTGGTGCTGATTCCAAGAATGCTCCCTATTAAACCTCCCTGCACACTCATTTCCCCTCAAGTTGGCTCCCAGGGAATCCAACCTGCAACAGGCACCATCATCATGATGTAGGTAAGAGGGAGTAACTTCAGAACCTCGTCCTCCCTGTGACAGCCTCAAGCCACTTCAGCCAGCCTCTTACCCATAGGTATTCCTCAAGCTTCAGGGAACAGGCATCAACCTCAGGACATGGTCGCTAGTAAGCCCCAGTCACCAGACCTGGAGAGAGTGCCTGGGAGGGTCCTCCCTTCCCCCATGGCCCGGGAAGGGGGAACTCCATGACTTCGACAACTCTGCCCTCAAGGCCAAATGTCTAGTCCTTACCCATATCCATCCACACACTCCCTGAGGTAAGCACTGGCTAAAGCCTGCAAAACTGTCTTCAAAAATCTCTTTCTCCAGGTCTGTATCTTGGAAAAAAGGGTAATTGGTTCCTCTTGTCTTGGGACCTCAGTTGAAACTGAACTAGAGAAAGTCCCATTTTAACACCTGGTTACAGACCTCCCTTTATTTTTAACAGACCAAACCCACACTCCAGCAGTCAGGAGGGTGTCTGTCACGCCTGTTCTGTATCCTTCTTAATTGTCCAGGCTCCAGGGTAGTGCTGTTCAGGGTCCAGTATCATCATTTTTACAGACATTAGCACTTTTACTTCTGCTTGTGCCCTTTTCTCTCTAAGGTGGGGCTGGTAGGGCTGGTATGTCCTTTCTATGGACCAGTCTTCCCACCTATGTATGATTTTACCACCTTGCAATGGCACCCACCAGCCTGGCAGATGGGCCAATCTAAGTGGGGCTTCTCAGGGGCCTAGCTTTTTTATTAATGCATGGCTGGGACTCTGGCTTTTCCTACTTCTTCACTCACTCTTTGCACTGTCTCACCCTCCATCACCAAACTCTTACAACACTCATTGTTTAAATTCTGATTTTTCTCTCAATTCTTAAATTTAAAAATTTTAAGAATATATACATTGTATATATCAATTTTAAAACAGTTTAGGGGAGAAAATGGGAATCATTACCACATTAAATGATTCTTACTGGTTTCAGAAGTCTTAAAAAGGGAGTAAATGTGTGTCATTGTCTGGAAATGTGGGGTATACACAGATTGTCTCCTGGAGGGAAGGGAACCTCTGCCTCTTCTTCTTCCATCAAGTTGATGTCTTAAAGCCGGATGCATGGTAGCCATGGGCCAATGACTCCTTCACTGATAGTTGAAGGACAGCATCATGGCCAGACAAGACCATTCATGAGCAAAATCCTCATCCCTAGACCTAAAAATGGAAGCCATTAGTCTCGAAAGTCATTGATTATCCAGGTTGAGGTATAGGGGAAGCTGGGGTTCTTGATTATATTTTTTCAGATTTTTTTTTTTTACCATGCTATACAGCATATGGGAATCTTAGTTCTCTGACCAGAGATCAAACTCACACCCCCTGCACTGGAAGCACAGAGTTTTGACCACTGGGCTGTCAGGGAAGTCGCAAGGCTGTGCTTCTTTAAAACTGGATCCTTCTTATCAAAAAGCACTTAGCAATCCAAAAAAACTTGATCCTTTCCTCAATAAAAATTACAGAACTCTTTGAAAGATGACAAATTCTGGATTAGGGGTGTCAAGAAACACAACATTTAATAGTAGATACAGCATATGTCTATGTGAACCATCCCACAGCTTTGGCCTGAATCCAGATGCAGGGGATGGAGGGTATGGTTTACTGGTGCTGAAGTTCAGTGACGGGAAGCGTGAGAATAGATTTTGTAAAGTCACAACTTAAGAGCTGGTTTCTTTTGGAGGGAGTAACGTGCAAGTGTTCCTTGTTATTTCAAGTGTTATTTCCATAGGGAAGGAGTCGTGGCCTCTGTGATTGCCCTTCCTCCCATCTCTGCTCCCGAATCTGCGGGCTCTCCCACCCCTAAAACAACTAAATGTCCAGACAAGGGCCAGATGGGTCATCCTTGAGATAACATACCTGGTAGCACCAGGACTCATGCAGGGACTTGCATGACTCCGACAGCCTCTCTTACCTCACTCTAGTTTCAGCCCTGATGTGTGATAATGCGCTGAAAGTCATAAAATACAAAAGAAACAGCCCTGCGTTCCAATATCTCTTCTTCTGGGAAGAGATATTCCAACATAATTTCCAACCACATCCTGGACCATACTGTTACTTTACCAGATTACTGAGGTCTTATTTCTGCCATCTGCACACAGCATCCCAGGGGCCAGCTAACCACCAAGGTTGTAACTTAACTCCTTTTCTCTATCTCATCCTCCTTAGGGCTGTGCTCTATAGAGGAGAGGAAGCCAGAGACCCGGTCTTGGAACGTGTTGAAACAAGATGGGTGTTTCCCTGCTGCTGCAGCCTTTGTCACCAAGCAGTTCAGTCTGGAGTAAGGGGACGGTGGCACGATTTGTTGGGAGCTGGGCAGTTTGCTCCCATTTTAAGCAGCTTGGGCGCTCTGCCCTCTGCTGCCCTCTGTGGCCAAAACTTCAAGGTCTCTAGAGACACTGAATCCGGGGCTCGCTCGCTCTCTCTCCCTGCCATCATCTCATGAAGCTTTTCTCCTTTAGTTCTCCATAGGCTTTAAAAGTAAAATGGGACACTCTAGCCACAAGCCTGCATCTGGTTTATACTCTCAGCTCCTTCCTGCAAAAGTTGTTGAACTGAATCCTGGAAGAAATCTTAAGAGGTCATTGGGTCCCTCAGCTCTGCTTTAAGCAAGACTGGCTGTAACCCTTCTGGGAATTATATAGGCTTTGGCAAATCTCATACTGCCAAAATCCTAGGTTCTTCAATGTTACTCACTGGGATTTCCACAAAATCTGCATAATTGTTTATCTTAGCTTGGGACCTTTCACTTAGAGGGCAAAAATCCTGGTTAGAAAGATGGGCAGGCTGGCCATGAGAAGGATCTGTTAATATGGTTGATGTGTTCTTGTCTGATGCTTTACCTTTCTTCTTGTTTTTTTTTTTGTTTGTTTGTTTGTTTGTTTTTTAACACAAGTTAATTTCCTAAGCTCAACCTTGTTGAAATGTTCTCTTTGGGTTGGAGGTATCACTTTGCTACCGGCAAGCACAACTGAGGACTTAGATATTTCTCCTTGCTCTGGGAATGCAAGGCTTTGGGCACCTGAAAGTCGTCAAGTACCTGTTTCTTTTCCCACTCCAGTCCCAAGTGAGGTGAGTAAGCTTACTGCTAACTAATGGAGAACTGTGTCTCACCAATCCTTTGGCTGGAGAAGTGAATTATGAAATTAACTCGTTCCTAAAACCCACCGAAGAATTGATGCTTTTGAACTGGGGTGTTGGAGAAGACTCTTGAGAGTCCCTTGAACTTCAAGGAGATCCAGCCAGTCCATCCTAAAGGAGATCAGTCCTGGGTGTTCATTGGAAGGACTGATGCTGAAACTGAAACTCCGGTGTTTTGGCCACCTGATGCGAAGAGCTGACTCATTTGAAAAGACCCTGTTGTTGGGAATGATTGAAGGCAGGAGGAGAAGGCGACAACAGAGGATGAGATGGTTTGATGGCATCACCAACTCAATGGACGTAAGTGGGTAAACTCCGGGAGCTGGTGATGGACAGGGAGGCGTGCTGCAGTTCACGGGGTTGCAAAGAGTCGGAGACGACTGAGGGACTGGACTGAACTGAACACCCACCAACACCAAGAAAATGTTCCCTAGAGGGATTTGCAGTTTTTTGTTTGAATTTCCCAACTGTCGGGCCTATTTGATTTCAAAGTCTGTGTGCACAGTGCTCAGCGACCCTAGGAAAATGAGGAAATATGCCTGCTTCCCCAGTTCTCTGCTGGTTTTTTCACCTATTCCTATTCCGCTTGCCAGTGTCTTCCAAAAGCTCCTGAAAGGAACTCCCACCCCTCTTGCAGGTTGCCAGGGGGAAACAAGTTTATTTTGTATTTTGGTGGTGACACAAACTTATACCAAACAAACTCTTCTTATGTATCTTATTTCTTGACATTTCCTTTTGTATTATGTTTTAAAAAGCATAAACACCCCCTTGACCATTTTAAGCATACAATTCAGTATTGTTAATACGTTCACATTGTTCATCGTCTAGAACTTTTTCATCCTGCAAAACTAAACCTCTATGCATATTAAACATGAATCCCTCACACCACCCCCTTCTGGTTTCTTTCTTCTATGAATCTGACTAGTTTAGAAACTTCAAAAGTGGAATCACACACAGCATTTGCCTTTTTGTGACTAGCTTATTTCACTTAGCCTAACAGTACTGAAGATGCCTTATGCAGATGGTTTTTGTATAAAATGTGGGGAAGCTAAGGGGGAGAAAGGAAGATAAAGGCTTAGGGTCCCAGGGTGGACCAGTTCCACCACACTTGCTTTCTCTTCAACTCACACCTGTGAAACCCGTGCGCCCTTCTCAAATGAGCTTCAAAGATTAAAATCCTCCCGGTCCCTTCCAGAAACATCCCTGCTGGCTCGCCGCCATGTAGGTAAGGAATAGGGTGGGATTCTTGGGAGAGCAGTCAGCGGCAGCACAGAGCACGGGATCTCCAGCGGGCGCAGGTCCCCGGCAGCGCCGCAAGAGCAGCTGGAAAACCTTGGGCTCTGACGGCCCCTGGACCTCTGATCTCCCTACACCTGCAGTCTTTTCGTTACCAACTGGACCGCGGAGATACAATGAGCAGCCCTGAAATTATGCGATTTCAGGACACGCTGTCAACTCTTATCCCGAGATCACTCTGTAAAGCCAGACTGCTTCTTCGATTCTGAACTGGCCGGGACCCGCGCGGCGGTGGCCAGGAGTTGGGAGCTGGGCGCGGCAAGCCAGACCGCCCTTAGGACCTTCGATCAGGTATCCCCTCCAGCTCGGCGCAACCCCGCAGGCAACCGACGTGCCAGGTGAAGGAAGAAGAGCAGAGCAGAGGCAGAAATAACTCCATTTCACTGCACTGTTTCCCCGGATCCGACAGGCACAAGTGATCGGTCTCCCTGCCTCTCTCTTTCGGGACTGCTAAGCTAGCTGCGTTCTGCCGGAAAAACACATCGCCCAGACCGAGTGCGCGGCGTTTGGGGACATCTGAATTATCCCCCACCCCGGGCCCGATGTGACAGGCAGCGGGGCGAGGGACGCGGGAGAGCGGCAACGCCGAGCGGCTCCACGAAGCGCGGCACCCTGGGCGCTCGCGGTTTAGCCCGGGTCCCAAAGACAAGGCAGAGGTGGGAGGACCCCGGCTTACGGGGGCACAGCCGCTCCTGCAAGTATCCCCCCGAAACCCAGTCTTCGCTGCTGCTCAGCCCCACCAAGGTGCGCCTCCTCGGTGCGGGGTCCCACCTACCTCCCGCCACCCCGCCGACCTCATAAACAACTTCGCTAACCGCAGAGGGCGGAGGCGGGGCGGGCGGGCCGCCGCCGAGCCGAGCGCGGGGGCAGCGGGGCGGGCCGGGGTCAGGGCACAGGCTGCGGCCGCGCCGCCCGATTGGCCGGGACGCCGTGGGCTGCCCCGGCGCGCGGCGCGGGGGGGCGGGACGGGGCGGGCGGGGGCGGGGCCTGCTTCCTTGCGCGTGCCCGCCCCCCGCCCGCTGCGCCCGCGCCCCTCGCGCCCTCCCCACCCCCGCCGGCCGCCGGAGTTTTTAAAGTGGGCTGACCGCCCCGCGAGCCGGACATTCGGGAGCGGCCCGACGCACGGCTCCGGCGCCCGCCGCCTCCCGCCCCAGCTTTCCTGAGGCGGCCGTACAATCCTCGGCAGTGTCCTGAGACTGTATGGTCATCTCAGCCTCCGCGTCTGCCCGGCCCCGGACTCTGCCAACTCCCGTCGTTTTCAAGCCACTTCTTGTATTTTGAAACCCCAGAAAAGCGACTCCTGACTCCTTTTCGAAGGAAAAAGAAACTTCAGCCCCCTGCTCGCTGCCCCCCGCCGCCCACTTTTTTTTTTTTTTTTTTTTTTTTGCGTTTGACAGCGTCCTTCCACTCCTTTCCCGACCCCGCCTCCCGGCGCAGGTTCCTCCCCGTCACCTTTCTCCACCCCCTCCCCCGCACCAAGCCTGCTGCCCGCAACTTCCACCTGACCGTGCGGACGCTCGGGACCTGCGAGCACCTGGCACCTTTCACAGCGGCGTGGGCCTCGAGGAGTGGGCTAGGGCCACAGCGAAAGTAGCAGCTGCAGCCCCGCCGGCCCTGGAGCTCAGGTGCTCGGAGCCTCATAGGGCCCCAGCGACAATGACAGCTGACAAGGAGAAGAAAAGGTAAGCAGGCGTCCGAGGCGGCAGGGGAGTTGGTCCGGGGTTGGGGTGGCGGGGCTCCCCGCGGGACCGCTGCTGGGAGAGGAGCGCCGAGGGGACTTTGAGGACCCAGGGATCGATTTGGAAGGTTTGGCAGGGGAGCGCAAGTGTCCAGTCTGGGGACACGCCGCTCGGGCTTCGCGGTCGAGAGTTCTGTGGCCCGAAGGAGTCGGGAATCTGCGCTGGGAATCTGACAACGAGGCCAGGAAATGGCCCTAGAGGTCGGAGGTGCTCCCGAGGTACCTTCCAAAATCCATCCCCCTCCAAACCCCGCACCAAACTCACGCGACCCGCGTGTTGAAACGTTTCTTGGTTGACTCGCTCAAGTCAACTTTTCGACTTTCTCACGGCCCACTTGAGGGGCAGCATCCACTCTTTTCCTCGGGACCTGTGGGGTCCTTCTAAATGAGCTCTGCCCGCGCTGCCTCCCAGAACTGGCAAGGGGCCGGAGGCAGAACGCGGCGCTGGCACGGGCCCCGGCAGAGCGGCCAGGGCGCAGCGAAGGGACCCACTCCAGGGCTCCAGACCCCACGGAAGCTGGGAAAAGTCCCTTTCCTGATCCCGCACCTTGCCTCGGCGGGGGAATGGGTAGTGGGCCCAGCTGCCTCTCGGAAGCAGCCGTCTTCGTGCGTGGGGAGGGGATGGCGACACCGGGCACCCGCGGCAGGTCCCGATGTCTCTCCCAAGAGGACAGAGAAGGGCAGCCACGATCTGCCCGCCTGCCCTCGCCAGCCTCTCGGCACTGGGTGAGAGGCAACGCGGGCCAACTCTCTCTGCCCTCCTGCCCTCTCCCGGCGAGGATGAGAGCGCGCGGCGTGGCGCGCAGACGTGGGAACCACCTTGCCTCCTGCAGTCGAGCGCGGCTTGCAGCCTGGCTCCCCTCTCCTCTCAACCTCCACTCGTGCCGCCCCAGCGGGCTGGAGCTCTCGGCCCGGTATTCGACGGTGGCTGGCGGGGCTGGGGTGCGGGGAACTGTGATCGAATGCGTGCTGGGCCGGCTGAAGGATCTGAGCCTCCGGAGATCAACTGCTGGGGGGCTGTGCGGTGGTTCGGAGATGAGGAACCCAGACGCGATGGGCAGGCGTGACCGGCCTCGAACCCGGGAGCCCGAAGAGCTCAGTGCTTGGGTCGATTTACTCGTGTTCCGACTTCGGGACCGGAGCCAGAAACCGTGTATCCTCTGGTCGAAAGCGGCGGTTCCCACCTCGGGGCACCGATAAGGGTTTGATAAACGGGAGCAAATCGCGCCCTTTCTGGCAGAGCGCCCGGGCCCTTCGCTCCCGGATTGCCAGGGGTGGAGGGGAGAAGGGGAGGGGATTGAGTCTTAACTGCGCGTTTACGGCCGCAGCTGCCCCTCCCGCGTCACTGCGGCGCCCCCCCGGCCTGAGATGGCTAAGGGAGTCTAGCCCCGGCCGATCTGGGCCCCGGAGACCGCAGCGGGCGCGCGCCCCTGGAGGCCTCGGAGCAGCCCTGGAGTCTTCTGTCTTTGAAGGGCAGCGAAGCAGGGAAGGGACTTTAAGGTGCCAACGCATTTTGTAAGCCCAGTATAGCCTGCCAATAACAATGATTGAACAGTCAAAAAACAAAGTTATAGTCAGCTCCTCTGCGCGCACGCTGGGCTCCGGAGCCGGTGAGGGAACTTATTGTACACTTTACAACTGTGATGCCTATCGGCGAATGTTGCAATCGCGGAGGTGGGGCCTGACGGTAGTCTTGACACATGTGTGAAGCGTCAGTTTCTCCCGCGCGGCTGTGCGCCGGTTCTGTGCTGTTACATATGTTAATCGTTTCAGGAAACTTGGGAGCAGTGGAGAAGTTATTTCGACATACCTGACTGTAGTGCCTCTTTTGCTAGGGATAGAGGGAGCCAGAATCGGGAGCTGGAAGAAAGTTGGGTAATCAGGCTCTGAATTATTCGCGAGAGCTGCAGGTTTAAGAACCACTGTGGGGATTGCCTGTGAGATGTCTAGGAGGCCAGAGCCGGTGGCCCTGCCTGTCTGCTTTGCGACTTGCTTTGGTTTTTATGTCGCAGACCGGCAGGGCAAACATTTGTGTCTCTCACCATCCGGTGTCCCGTGAGAGGCTGTCCAATTCATGTTGGGCTAAGTGTTTTGAGATATATTTACTTTTCTAGCCTGGCTCTGTTTGCTGGGGGCAGACTCCTTGAAGGACCAAGGTATAATTAAAATACGTGAACCAGTGCATTAAAAGTTGGTGTGTCATGTAAGGGGTGATCCTTAGCTTTGCCGGAGTGCTTCACAAGTTCTGTATGAGGCTTTCAGGTTAGGATTCTGTGTATAGATTCTCAAGATGCGATTCTTCTGGTTCAGCAGAGTCTTTTCTTCCCCCAGATTCAAGATGCATGGAACATTCGCAGTGTTCTAACAACAGTCGTTCAAGAAGTGGGCAGGATTGTTTTGTTCCAGAACATTCATGCGTTGATGGAGACGTTAATGTTTAATAATAAAGAGTTTACTTTCTAAACTTTTGGCTGGCCTTGACAGAGGGTTTCAAAGTGTGCTTTTTTTTTAGTGGTAGTGGGCATCCCTCTGATATCAGAGATGGCTGGAACCCAAAACTTGCTAAGGGAGCTGCACTCGCTTTCTGCACTCACCTGTCAGGAGTGAGGTCCCTTTAATCAGGATTCCTGGGTGTGAAGAACTAGAAACTGTCTGAGCTACTCACTTCCTGATCAGACAATTTTTGAGTCCCTTCCCTGAAAGACAAAATAGTCTGGAAGTTCTTAGGTACATGAGGATTGGAGAGTGGTTTGGATAAATGTAAATCAGATCCTTGGATGCTCAGGGATCAAAATCTATTCCCAAAGCTAGACAGCTCAGAGCTCCTTCCCTGAAGGCTTCTATTGCTTAGTGTAGGGCCTCCGTGGAAAGAGGATCAGAAATCTCCTCTCCTGCCCCTGGATGTAGTTGTTCCTCTGCTAAAGTAAAATCAAAGTCCACCTCTTATTCATATCTAAGGCAGTTTTTCTCAATGTAAATATATTTTCTATAAACATTCCTTTAACATCTGATCTCTCTTTCCAATTGCATTACTAGGTAATAAGAAATTGATATAACACAGTGTAGGTTCAGGTGAATAAAATTTAACTCACACAGCTTTTGTGAAGTTCAAAAGAATGCTGTGACTACAGGTTTTTTCAGTATTGCTTATGGGAATCTTACAGTTTTATGCAAGGACTATTCCCTAGTGGAGAAGATTTCTTTGTGAAGTCGAGAACTACCTGTCAGTGGAGACATCCAAGAGGGTACTAGGTTGATTCCTGTACTGAATAAGCTGGCAGTTTCACTAGGAGTGAAAACCATGAGATAAAACTGTTTAATTCACTTCAAATGTAAATCAGTCGTTTCTCTCTCTCTCTCTCTGTGTGTAGGGTGATCCTCAGTGTTCTAGGAATCTATTCTGTAAAACGTTTACAAATAGAACAGAACCAATTAGATAATTCTTAGTACTCCAGGATTTTAGCCCAATACATTTGACAATATTTGCTGTCATTAATTATCTTAAGATTTAGGCTTTTCCACTTCTCAGGAAATCTCTCCAGTAGTACTGGTTCCCCCCACCCCCCTGCCCCCTCAGTTCTGGCCCATACCAACATGACTTTTTGTTTTAGCCTGATGAATCTTCCCTTTTGCACTTGGTACTGACCCTCATTTATAGTTCATAGCAGGTAAGGCTTTTGCCAATATTGTGAAGTTGGCAGTGTTTGCCCCCAGGATTCCCAGTACCCTTTATCCTCACTCACCCAGTACTAATGTCTAGTGTCTTGATGAAAATTAGCTCTGTTGTTCATACCATGATATAAACCAATATGAAAGTGAATGTGTATGGAACACCTCCTCCCTCTCTGGATAAAATATTGAGGAGACGTTAAGGAATAAGGGATTTGGTCTTGGTCTTGGTCTGTCTTGGTCTTTAAGTTGTGTAGTTTGTTTTGGGAGAGGGAAGGACACACAAGGAAGCTTACCTAAAAATATAGGCAGCTGGCAGCTTACTTGTCACTTTTCTATCGAGGTCAAATCTTTTGAAGCAAAAGAAGTTCTTAATCACATATAAGCATAATTATTGAAAAGTACAGTGTGTTTGGGAGTAGCAGAATAGGTTCCTAGTTTCCCCCGGAAATCACACAGGAGAGGCCCTGATTCCAGCATAAAGACTGGCTCTGAGTGAAGGTCAGACACAGATAGTGTCAGGAGTGATGAGAAGTAGAGGGTTCAAGAGTATCCCTGGGGTGTTCTCCGACACCATAGACAGAAGGGCCCCCAGAATTGAATGTTTGCTATTTTTTGCACACTCTCTTTGGTGAGGGGCATGAAGGGAGGCACCTAGTAGGGGTCTGGGAGCGATGGGGTGGAGATTCTGGTCCCATTAAGGGTAATCGTGGAGACAGCCAAGACTCTAGGAAGACCCAGAAGGGAGAGGGAACTTCTTAATCTGGGCTTTGTGAGTGGGCTTCAGAGGGTGGTCTGTGAGTCTCTGAATGGCTGCTAGTGTTAGGGATATAAGTATTATTCCCCCCAGGGGAAGTCAGTTCAGCACTGATAGCCTTTCATAAGTTCTGTGATCTGGAGAAGGTGAGCCCTTGCTCTTGGATGTCTGATTTGGTGATTGCCCTACCTTTCAGGGTCTTACTGTTCAGGTCTCAGAGAGGTCCACATTTCACCACCAGTGTTTCTCCCTCCCTTGGAGATGGGGGAGGAGGTTGGCATGTGCATCTAGTTAAAATTCTGTAGTGTGACTTAACCTTACCTGTACCCACCTGTCTGTCAACCCACACATCTGCCCTTGGTAATGGGGGGATGGGGAGCCCAGTGCCCTGCACAGGCTTAGTTCTCATGTGGTTCATTTTGTTACTGCTTCTTAAAATGGCCATGAAATTTTATCTTCACATTTTCCACCATCCTCAAACAGTTATTGGAAGTCTTTTTACATACTAGAAATGTGTG